GTCAGTTGGGGGGAAATAGGGGAGGGACGGTGGGGGGTGGGGAGCTGGGGAGAGATAGCAAGGCGAGAAATGCCAGATGTAGGTGATGGGGAGGAAGGCAGCAAATCACACTGACACGTGTGTACCTATGCAACAATTTTGCATGTTCTTCACATGTACCCCAAAACCTAAAATGCAATAAAATAAATAAATGGGGGGAAAAAAAAGAATAAATTCCAGATGGACTGAGGGATTGAAAGTGAAAATACTGTGACTGGAAGGATGGGAAGGAGCCAGCCTTGTGTAGAGTGAGGGAGAGCATTCAGCCAGTGGGAATGGCTGTGGGGAAAGCCCTGAGGGAGGAAAGGGCGTGGTCTGTTCCGGGGACTGGAGGACACCAGGGGGACTGGAGGACACACACCAGGGCAACCGGAGCCCCGTGGGCCGGCAGGAGTGGGCTTTGAGGTAGAGAAGTGTGCAGGCGCCAGCTCTGTCGGGCGATTGCTATTTGTAGCCAAGAACCTGGATTTTATTTGAAGTTCCAAGGTCAGCTATTGAAGGGATCTTGACAAATAACATGATGCAAAAATCACCCGGTCTTCTGTGTGATGAAGGGACCGGGGTGCCTCAGTAGACACGGTGGATCCAGGAAGAAGACTGTGGAAGTAGCCCAGGGAAAGATGGCAGTAGCTTGGCCCAGCATGGGGTCAGTGAGGATGGAAAAGCGCAAAAAACAACATAAGCTTTGTTTGCTGATGTTTGCACGATCAGATGTTGGGGGTGAGAAAAGGGGAGGATTCAAGGGTGACATCCAGGGGTATTGGCTTGAGCAACTCAGTAGACTCCTTTGTTGAGGCAGAGATCGGGGGGTGATGGGTATGAGGTCTGAACTGTGTGGTGTGGCGTGTGGTGGAGTGTGGTAGTAAGAAGGAGTTTAGAGGCCTGTGAAATATGCAGGTAGACATCAAGTAAACAGTTGGAAAGAAAAAGTTACATTCCAGCTGTAAAATGGCCAAAGGGTTCAATAGAAACATCAAAAAAAAATATTAGCTAAATGAATATTCATCTTCACTAACAATCAAGTAAGTAAATCTACATTAAAACCGCTATTGGCTGGGTGCGGTGGCTCATGCCTGTAATCTCAGCACTTTGGGAGGCCAAGGTGAGCGAATCATGATGTCAAGAGTTCGAGACCAGCCTGGACAACATCGTGAAACCCCGGATCTACTAAAAATAAGAAAAATTACCGGGACATAGTGGCACGCACCTGTAATCCCAGCTACTCAGGAGGCTGAGGCAGGAGAATCACTTGAACCCGGGAGGCGGAGGGTGCAGTGAACCGAGATTACACTACTGCACTTGAGGCCAGGCAACAGAGTAAGACTCCATCTCAAAACCAAACCGAACCACCATCAGTTACCATTTTACTTGTCAAATTGACAAAATTGGATTCTTCAAAATAATTATGATACCAAACTTTGGGAAAGAGATTGAAATGGACTCCCACACACTGCTGGAAAGTGTACACTGAGGAAAACACATCTGGAAGAAGGGTAGAAATATGTATTAAGTGTTTTGCCATGCATATCCTTTGGCCAAATAAATTCGTTTTTAGTGTACCCTAAGGAAAATACGAATATATGAGAAAATAGATAATTTTAAATTAAATATACCTTCACATAGTTTATAACATTAAAAAATGGGGAGATAATAATAGGATATCAAGTTAACTATATTTTGAAGACTAATGATGTAAAAATGCTAGCTATATTGAGAGGGTAAGAGCTAAACTGTAAACTGTTCTGGTGTTATGATACCAATATTTAAAAGTACAATTATATATTTATGAAATATATATAACGTAATTTTTCATGTTTTCTCCAGTGAACATATTTTTATGTTATAAAGTAAAATTTTAACAAGAAAATGTGAATATTTCACTTTCCAAGAAATAAGGAAATGCAGCTTCAAAAGGAATACCACTTTCTTAACTATTAAATTATTTCTTAGTCTAAAAGTTACTTTATTTCTGAAGTAACTGATCTACTAGTAGTGTTTTGCAGGTGACACTTTATCCCTTTCAAAAAGCAATTTGGTGATACTATCAAGATCCCAAGGGCCGGACTTGGTGGCTCACACCTGGAATCCCAGCCCTTTGGGAGGCTGAAGCAAGGGGATCACTTCAGCCCAGGAGTGTGAGACCAACCTGGGCAACATAGCAAAACCCCATCTCCAAAAAAAAATAACAATAACAGAAAGAGAGCTCATTTAACCAAGTAACTACTCTCCTGAAAGTAGATTACTCATTAGCAATTAATTTTTAAAAAAGGAAAATCTATTTGTGTGTATTCTTTATAACCGTGGCCTTCCTCGTAAAAGTGAATATTTGGTAGTGTAAATATCCAGCCTGAATATTTTGGTACGTCTACCATATGCAGTTTCTATAAACTATACACGAGATTATTATAGAAGAAATTTTATAAAACTGGACAGCCCACCAGAAGCTAATCCTACAAATGATAATCATGTCTGCTTATGAGACTGGAAGGAAAATAGAAGAATTAGTAGAGTCATAGGGGTAAAATATTCTATTTCATCAAAATTCTGTAAAATTTTATATTATTTTATTGTTACTATTTATTTTGTGCCCTGCCTCATTTCAAAACATGTTTGATGTGATACTATTTTCTAGCGTTATAGAAATAGATACTAGTCATATCTTGTATTCTTATCAAAACAATGAATAAACGTAGTGAGTGAATATAAGGAGACTCATTATTAAACGCATCAGAATGTTTTGCCTTAACTTGAGGATGGAAGAATTTATGATCTGAGTGATTGCTCAAAGTTTCTTTGTTGTCATGTGGAAAACCTTGACCTTGATTTTCTCATTTAGGCGTCCCTATAGACTCAGCTTATTATAAGGATATGTAATTTGCATGTTATTTTATTTATTCAAATCCTTGAATTCCACAATAGTTGTTTAAAAAAATAGTCTCAGCTGGTACAGTGGCCCAGGAGTTCATGACCAGCCTAGACAACATTGCAAGACCCCCATCTCTACAGAAAATTCGAAAATTAGTCAGGCACGATGGCATGCATCTATAGTCCCAGCCTACTCAGTAGGCTGAGGTGAGAGTATTGCTTGAGCCCAGGATTTGAGGATCCAGTGAACTATGATTATGACACTGCACTCCAGCCTGGGATACAAAGCGAGACTATTTCTGAAAATAAATAAATAGAAAGATATCTTATTTCTCTAGTTCAACCTTCACTTGACTGGAGACATCCATGCCATCACAGCTGCCAATAACTTGCTGGCTGCCGCCATCGACACCAGGATTCTGCATGAAAACACGCAAACTGATAAGGTGAGAAGGATTCCTTGCTGGCCATTTTGGGTATTGTATCCTGGAATTCCTGGATACTTAAAGAGTTTGTGGAAAGAATTCCGGTGCCTGCAAACTCGGAAAGGTTATTCAATTCAATTTGGTGATTTTTCCGTATCCCTGTTTCCCAAGAAGAAGCAGCCATCCTTTGGTTAGATTCTCAAATGGGTTTATGAGCACTGCCAAGTTATTGAGAGAATTGTACTACGTTGTAAAAGCCAAATATTATCTGAGATGAGTCGTTAAAGACAGTAGGTAGACCAGTTCTCTTCATTTTGGCTGTAGGTACAATCTCTAGTCTGTTCTAAGGGGATTGGACAGATGCCGTTTTAAGAATAGTGTTATGGGGAGCTATATTGGATGTGCTGAAAAGATGTCAGAGACCCTTACTAGGCTTCTTGTGCATGTAGGTTATGAGTTAAACCACACCCCCAAAAGAGACCGCCCACCAGAAGCTAATCCCTCATAGACATGGGACATAGATAAAAGGGGTACTTTCTGGCGTGTTTTACAACAAGGGTCCTCATTTTCTAAAATTAAAGTAATTCTTTAGTGAGTCTTTGCAGCACAATCCAGATACATCTTCCTTTTGTAGTTGCAGCAATATAGATTAAGAAATATATTTATGCAAACTCTTTGCAATGTGTGTTATTTCAGATCTCGTCAGTTTTATGAAAATGACAGAATTTAAGCCTATGTTGTTTATATTAGCCCACACACTTTAATAGGGTCTTTTATCTAAATAGTTCAGTTATGAATGCAGTGAACTTTTTTCATGTACTGTGAATTGTCCAAGTTCATGGACAGTTAACTTTTGTGGGGTCTTATTTTTGTTTTGTGTTTTTAGGCTCTGTATAATCGGCTGGTTCCTTTAGTGAATGGTGTCAGAGAATTTTCAGAAATCCAGCTTGCTCGGCTAAAAGTAAGTTTCCAGATAGCAATTCTTTAAAAAGTGAATATCCTAGAAACACATCAGAAAGATTGTTAAAACCTGAAATTTTCAATTTGATTTGATTCTGGTTCTCTGATATCCTTTTGGGTATTAAACTCTATAGAGACAGAACACTGGAGCGGAGAGGGCACAGAGTTCAAAGCCTGAAACCTGGTTCCACATGAAAGAGCCAGGTGGACAAATTAATTAACATTTTTCAGTCTCAGTTTCTTTTTCTATGACATGAGTGTCCTGTTTTGCTAATTTATGAGTACCCTAGTCAACTGACAGATTAGCTGAGCACAGGGGCACATACCTATAGTTTGAACTACTCATGATTCTGACATGAGAGGTTTGCTTGAGCCAAGGAGTTTACGGTTATAGTGCACCATGATGGCACCTGTAAATAGTCACTGCACACCAGCCTGGGCAGCATAGCAAGGTCTCATCTCTTGAAAAAATTAACAAATTAGAATTTTTGGTGAGTCCTCTTTCTAAAGTGAAACATTTTTATGATATCTATCAAATTTCTAGGAAATTATAAGATAAACTTTGAAAACTCATCTATGGTTTTTTGTTTGTTTTGTTTTGTTTTTTGAGACAGAGTTTCACTCTTGCTGTCCCTGGCGTGCAGTGGCATGATCTCGGCTCACTGCAACCTCCGCCTTCCTGGTTCAAGCGATTCTCCTGTCTCAGCCTCCTAAGTAGCTGTGATTACAGGCACTTACCACCGTGCCTGGCTAATTTTTGTATTTTTAGTAGAGATGGGGTTTTACCATGTTGGCCAGGCTGGTCTCAAACTCCTGACCTCAGGTGATCCACCTGCCTCAATCTCCCGAAGTGTTGGGATTACAGGCGTGAGCTACTACATCCAGCCAAAAATTACTTTCTTAGGACGTTTTGTTTACACAAAATCAATAGGAAGATTTCTTGGCCTGGCATAGTGGCTCACACCTTTAATCCCAGCACTTAGCCAGGCGATGACAAGAGGATTGCTTGAGCCCAAGAGTTCATTACCAGCCCAAGCAATATAGCAAGACACCCATCTCTACAAAAAATTTAAAAATTGGCCAAACATTAAAAGTTTTAATGTTTTTTTTTTTCTCCTCCATGAATTAGGAATAATTTACTTTGAAATATAGAAATAAACTTAAATTACTGGTATTTATATTTGAAAAGAACTTATGAACTGGGCATCAGTTATATAGACAGGAGTTTATGTGTCTTCTGAGCAGGGTCCCTGGTGAAGCAGCCAGCAGCAGGCACAAGTTGTAGTTAGTTGTATGCTGTCAACCCAGGACATCTTCACATCAATCCGTTTCAGACTTTGTTACAAATTCCAAGTATCTTAAACTTATAGAAGAAATCTGGCCCTAGGCATTTGTCCGATTTGGCCTAACCTACAATTCATTCAGAGTTCAATTTAGTTTTTTTGTTTGTTTGTTTGTTTTTGTTTTGTTTTGTTTTTTGGGTGGGGTGGAGGCAGAGTCTTGCTCTGTTGCCCAGGCTAGAGTACAATGGCATGATCTCAGCTCCCTGCAACCTCCACTTCCCAGGTTCAAGCAGTTCTCCTGCCTCAGCCTCCCAAGTAGCTGGGGTTACAGGTGCTCTCCACCATGCCTGGCTAATTAAAAAAAAAAAATTTGTGTGTGTTTTTAGTAGAGATGGTGTTTCACCATGTTGGCCAGTGTGGTCTCGAACTCCTGACCTCAGGTGATCTGCCTGCCTCAACCTTCCAAAGTGCTGGGATTGCAGGTGTGAGCCACTGTGCTCGGCCCAGTTTTATTTTTTAAAAGGCTTTACTAATCACAGAGAAAAGTAAATTAGAGGGATATTTTTGGTGACCTTTTCTTCTCAAACTTCTCACATTTTTTCTTCTTAATCATTAGAAATTGGGAATAAATAAGACTGATCCAAGCACACTGACAGAAGAGGAAGTGAGTAAATTTGCCCGTCTCAGCATCGACCCGTCTACCATCACGTGGCAGAGAGGTGGGTGCTGGGGAGATGCCAGCAGGCTGATGGCCGAAGCTCTTAGATTAAATTCAGAAACTCACAGCTTGATCCTGTGCAGTGGTCTTCCCAGCCTGTGCTTCATATTCTCACCATTTATTTCAGTGATTTTATCTTACCACCCTCTTCTCTTAGCCTTGCCTCCAAACAAAATTTCTCTGTGGACTCAATCCCATCTACTCCTGTGTCTTCAAAATTTCCAAGGAAAATTACCTAATTTTCTCTTCAGTTTCTCTCATCTTTGGCCTCGTGTCTCTATATTAAGTAAAAACAAACAAACTGTAAAAAAAGTTTAAAAAAGACCACACCTCCCTGGCTTTGTCCTGCTCCTCCTCCACCCACCATCTCACCTTCTTGCGTTCACTTCCTTACCACTGGCTCTCGGTGTGTTTCCAGTGCTGGATTTTCCTCCATATCTGATATGTGCTTCCACCTGTTTACAATGCTTCCCTCCACTACTTCAAATGCAGGCAGATGGACTCCCCGTGAGCTCCCCACCACCTCGACTTCCCTGCTTCCCTCTCGGCTGTGATGTCCCCTTCCTTCTCCTACACTGGCCTCAGTCTTATAGCTCACTGTGGGATGGGACAGAGGGCAAGCACTAAATGGGAAGTCAGTATCCCTGAGTGTGTCTTTTCTCTGCCACTGATTCACTGTATGACCTTGAGCAAGTCACATGCATGCTGTTGGCATTGGAAATGGAGATGGTCACATACGCTGCACAGAAATACAGAAAGCACACTTCAAGCACCTTCTACGGCTGTAGAAATGTTCGATGGCATGGATTCCTGATCCTTCCTCGATTATTCTTCTCATACCTCTCCCCTCAGTTTACCACTTTATTCTCACATTTGGAGCATATTTATGAGATGTGCATTTTATAGCAGCTCCAGACTGATAGATTTCCTCGCTTCCGTTTCCATCTCCTAGTTCAGAGGGTTCACATTAACGGAGATACCCACTTGTGGTCAGAGGCCTCCAGTGGCTCCCACATCCTGGGTGATAGAGTGACCATCGCAGAGCTTGGCCTTCAGGACATCCGCAGTGGCTTCCCTCCCTAAGCTCCCTGCCTACTTTCTACCCAGGAGGGCCTACCTCCGTCCCGCTGCCAGCCCTGGCTGGGCCATCTCCATCCCGTCTCCTGCCTAGGCCACTCTTGCCCTCCAAGATGAGCCCAGGTCTTGCCCCTTCTGGGAGTTTCCTTCCTGGAAATCCACATACCCAGTCCATTAAGAGTTTAGTGTTTTCTCACAAACCATGAGGTGGAGAGAGAAACACCAGAGACTAAGTCTTGGCTCTGCCATTTATGAGCTGCACAACTTTGGACAGACGACTGATTCAGTTTCCTCATCTTTAAAATGGAATCATAATTCCAGCTTCCAAGCTGGGGTGCTTCACTGAAACACAAGCATCCTTTCCTGACCCAAAAGCTGTGCCCACACGATCAACGAAGTCACTTTGGCGATAGTTGTATCGAGTAGTGTTTTTTTTTTTTTCTTTCTTTTTTTGAGACATAGTCTTGCTCTGTCACCCAGGCTGGAGTGCGGTGGCACGATCTCAGCTCATTGCAACTTCCACCTCCTGGGTTCAAGTGATTCTTCTGCCTCAGCCTCCTGAGTAGCTGGGACTACTGGCGTACGCCAACACACCTGGCTAATTTTTGTATTTTTAGTAGAGATATGGTTTCACTATGTTGACCAGGCTGGTCTTGAACTCCTGACCGTGTGATCCACCCACTTCGGCCTCCCAAAATGCTGGGATTACAGGCGTGAGCCACAGTGCCCGGCCTGAGTAGGGTTTTTTGTTTGTTTGTTTTTGTATTTTTAGTGGAGATGGGATTTCATCATGTTGCCCAGGCTGGTCTCAAACTCCTGAGCTCAAGCGATCTGCCCGCCTTGGCCTCTCAAAGTGCTGGGATTATAGGCGTGAGCCACCACACCCAGCCTGCAAACTTTTAAGGATACATTTTTCATTTTGAAATAAGTAATAACATTATAGAGATTTTGGAAATGCCTCAAAAGAATTTCAAAAACCTTGCTATACTAATAAAACTACTATTCATAGATTTTTGTGTGCATCTAGTTTTTTGGTATAACTCTAGTTATAACTTAAGTGTATAGATTTTATATCCTATGCGTTTCATTTATGTCATAAGTATTTTATATTTTGTTGCCTCTTTGTTGTAATGGCCATTTAAAATACTCTAGAATATTCCTTTGTGGATGAACCACAGCTTATGTAAGCATGCCTCAGTTCTTGAAAGCACCAATAGCATTTGAAATAATGGACATGAATACTTTGAGCATTTTATTAAGGAGCCTACATATTTTCTCTGAATTTTTTTTAGAACTAGGAAGATTTATTATTAAAACATCATGATGTCCAAAATGTATTGTCATCTGTTTTTTTTCCAAGGCATTTGTGATTTTGTGTTATTCTTCAAAACTGTTTTGGAGGTTTACTGATGACAGAAAAATCACAAAGGTGGAAATTAGTGTGTTTTAGCCAAACATGTGGAGGTGCTAAAAGAGAGAGTTTTATGCCAGTTGGCATTCTTCTGTTTCTGCTTTGGGGCTCCAGCCTGAGCAGCCATCAGAAACAGGGCAAGGGCTTAGACATAGTTCTTGGAAGAGAAAGTCTACATCATCTTTTTACCTGAGGCTGGTATGCAATTGGTTTCTCTCTGTGGAGCTAGGAAGGATTAAAACATTCTGTGGTTGTGAATCACTTTTAATGGAAGTGACAATTTACAAAATTATTCCAAAAAAGAATTCAATTCTGTTATTGTTCAGGGCACTGAAGTAAAGAAAACTTTATTGCTGTGGACAAGGTACCTGGGTCAGAGGAATCTGGAATGACATTTGATAAGTCGTTTGGCTCTTATTGCCATGAATTAATATCAGAAATAGGACTCTTCATCAAAAGATGGAGAACAGTTACTAGTAGGGTTTTTGGCTTAAACCTCGAGCTAATGGAACCTTTGTGATGAGACTGGATCTTTATTTGATTTGACAACTAGAGCAGGACACTCGGGGTGCAGGGGGGTGGGAATGAACCCTTCTTGTCAGGCCATATGGATGCTGCGCCATTTAATGACCACCCCCTCCTTTCAGCCTGTGTACAAGTCTAATGATTGTTTCATCTTACACCTCATAAGTTTAAAGGCCTCATGTTCCTGGAACCAGAGTGGGACAAGGAACCCACAGACCTTTCCAGAAATGCTTAACATAAACAGAAGAAAATGTGGACGTAGAGCCATTTTGTTACAGAGCACAATTTTGCACAGGTGGGCAGGTTGGGGCCCCTCAATACATAGCCCAGGAGCCAGTAAGTGTCTATTATTTAACCATTTTTAGTTCTATCCTTCAGAGACCAAGAATTCCGTTTTGGATCACTAACATAGGGTTACTTTCTAGTATCTTTCTTGTGGCCTGGAATTTAACCTCCACATTTCTTTTTTCTTTCTTTTTTTGAGACAGAGTCTTGCTTTGTCACCAGGCTGGAGTGCATGGTGTGACCTCGGCTCACTGCACCCTCTGCCTCTTGAGTACAAGTGATTCTCCTGCCTCAGCCTCAGCCTCCCAAGTAGTTGGGATGACAGGCATGCGCCACCGCACTCAGCTAATTTTTTTATTTTTAGTAGAGATGGGGTTTCACCATCTTAGCCAGATGGTCTCAATCTCTCGACCTTGTGATCTTGTAGCCTCAACCTCCCAGACTCAAGCGATCCTTCCACCTCATTTTTTATTCTTTACTCCCACTGTTTCCCAGGGTGTTCTCAAATTCCCGGGCGATCCTCCCACCTTGGCCTCCCAAAGTGCTGGGATGACAGGTGTGTGCCACCATGCCCAATCAACAGCTGAAATTCAAATAAGCCAATGAGGAAAATGAAGAGGACTGGTGCCTGTTCTAATCACATTGACTTTTCCTCCCAATACTACTTTATTTGCTTTTGGTTTGTAAAATTGTGGTAAAATAGACATAACATAATATTTTCTATCCATTTGTCAGCACACAACTCATGGCATTAAATACATTCACAATGATTACACTACCATCACTATACCCAGAACCTTTTCATCATCCCCAACAAAAGCTCCTTATCCAGTGAATAATTACTCCCCTCTTCTGTTCCTGCCTATTCTAAGTACCTGATGTAAGTGGACTCATATAGTATTTGCCTTTCTGTATCTGGCTTATTTTACTCTGCACAGTGTTTTCAGCATCCATTCATGTATCAACACGACCTTCTTTTATAGCCGTATGATATGCCATTGCCTGTCTGTGCCACATTGTGTTTATCCATTCACCTGTTGGTCTCTCTCCTTTTGACTGTTTTGAATAGTGCTGTTCTGAACATGGGCGTACAGATATCTAAGTGTCTCCTTTCAGTTCTTTTGGGTAATACTGAAAAGGGAAGTTGCTGGGGTTTCTTTTTTTGTTTTTTCAGTCAGAGTCTCGCTGTGTCGCCTAGGCTGGAGTGTAGTGGCACGTTCTGGGCTCACTGCCCCAGGCTGGAGTGTAGTGGCACGTTCTTGGCTCACTGCAACCTCTGCCTCCCGGTTCAAGCGATTCTCCTGTTTCAACCTCCAGAGTAGCTGGGATTGCAGGCAGGTGCCACCATACGCAGCTGATTTTTTATTTTTAGTAGAGACAGGGTTTCACCATGTTGGTCAGGCCGGTCTTGAACTCATGACCTTGTGATCAACCCACCTTGACCTCCCAAAAAAAGCCTCTAAAAAAAGGCTGGGATTACAGGCCTGAACCACAACGTCCAACCTGCTGGTTGTTTTATGTTCCACCTTTTGAGAAAACTGGATTGGCTTCTGTGACTTGGGTTTCATCATAACACCCCTTATCTTCCTGTGGCACTTATCACTAGTGGTTGCTTTCTCTTTCTTTCTTTCTTTTATTTTTTTTTAGATAGAGTCTCATTCTGTCTCCCAGGCTGGAGTGCAGTGGCGTGATCTCAGTTCACTGCAACCTCCACCTCCAAGTTCAAGCAACTCTCCTGCCTCAGCCTACTGTGTAGCTGGGATCACAGGAGCCCGCCACCATGCCTGGCTAATTTTTGCATTTTTAGTAGAGACGGGTTTCACCATGTTGGCCGGGCTTGTCTTGACTCCTGACCTCAAGTGATCCCCCACCTCGGCCTCCCACAGTGCTGGGATTACAGGCGTGAGCCACCATGCCCTGCCGCTAGTGGATGTTGTTTTGTTTATTTGATTCTTTCTCTGTGTCTACGCACTAGGCGGTCAGCTTGGGGGAGCCTGGCCTTGTCTCTTTTACCCTCTGCAACTTCCCGAGCATCAGAACAATGTCAGACATACACCAGGTGGTGGGTCCATATTTGCTGACTGAAGAACTAATCCGTTCTCTTTCAGTATTGGATACCAACGACCGATTTCTACGAAAAATAACCATCGGGCAGGGAAACACAGAGAAGGGCTATTCCCGGCAGGTAGGTGGTGCCTTCTTACTGGGATTGGCTGTGTTCTTATGTCCGTTTCCACTGGCCCGGGAGCTCACTCTTTGCCTTTCTCTTCTCATCCCCAACCTGTTGTGGCCAGTGGTTCTCCCACTGTTTCATGCTCTCAGCAGGGCTGGGAGAGGATCAGAAGACACGGAGGCTCCAGTGTCTTTTTACCAGCTTTTCCATGTATGTTAATTTCATTTTTTTTTTTCATGTATATTTCAAATTGTGTTTCTAGAAAGAGCTGCTCAGGGTGTTCCTTGAATATAAATTCTTACTTGTTTTATTGGGAACCCACCCAGGTAATACTACATCTGCATAACTGATAAAAGAAAATCTCAGACACATTACTCAAATTTTACGTATCAAAGAACAAACACCTAATTATTAGACTTTATAGCATGAGGAGTTTTTTGTTTTTTTTTTTTTAAAGCATAGTGGCTTATTACTCATACAGAGAATGCAGAAGAAAAATTATGATGTCTGTCTTCACTGTAATAGATTTTTCATGTGTGTCAATGGCACTTAGGGAATACAAATTAATTTCATGATTTTTCGTCCAGGCACAGTGGGCTTCTAAATTGTGTTGTGTTGTTTTTTCTTTTTTTTTTTTGAATTGGTTATAAACTTTACATTTTAGAACAGTTTTAGATTTATGTCCTTTATGTTGTCTTTATTAGTGAAAGAAGAGTCACTTGTACTGTAATAACCAATCCTTATACCAGATAGACTTGTGACTTTTTGAAATGTCTAGAATTAAAAAGTGAGTAAATACAGGCATTGCCTTAGGAAGAGAAACTAAGTTCATGGACCTCCTCTCCTACCAGTCCTGGAACTTACACATACACACACAGAGATTTCCGGTATCCATGCTAGCAAACTGCAATCATTGCCATGAAGTTTTAGAAATTTCTGAAAAATAGGAAGATGGAATTAGATTGATGGAGAAAAGGACAGCCCACACTATAGTGGGCTTAGATCGTTAACAAGCATTCTTGCTTTTCATGTTCCTCAGCCTCTCCTGCTGAAGTGGGAGTTTTATAAGAAAAGAGGTTATTCCCTTTTTTATTTATTGCTGTATTCCCTATGCTCAGAACAGAACTTTGTTACATATAGTAGTAGGTGTTAAGTAAATGTCTGTCCAACAAATGAGTAGAATAATTAAGACAGTTTATGGATACAGAAGTAAAATGCCAACATGGAAGGATATTCACGAGTAGCCATAAAACTGCAGACTGAAACAATCAAGTATCATTTACCTAGGAGTTTATCAAGTAAAAACAGTAGATACTAAATGCTAGTAAGGATGCAAGGAAATGGGGACATGGGAGTAGAAATCCTTTTTTGATGAGTTTGTTATTACTAAAATTTGAAATGACCCAACCATTACAACTTTCGTACTAAAAGTATTTTAATAAAAAGAAGAAGAAGATGTGTTAGATGCAGAAAAAATTCTATGTATTAGGATATCTGTTGTGGCATTATTTACTGTGGTGAGAATTTGAAACAATCCAAATGTCCAACAGTAGGGATAGTTGCCTATATTTGGTTTGTCATTTTGTATCATGGGAGAGTTGAAATTAATCAATGTGTGTATAGGTGTCGTGAGGAGAGTAGAGAGCTCTCATACCCATTGGAAAGGTTTTAAAAGCCATTTAAAAAATGTGAAGTAAAATACTGACATTGTAAACGTGTTGATGTTAAGAAAAACCCAGTGTGCTTACTTACAGTCTAGGCACTTATAGCCTATTTATGTACATAAGTGCCTAGAATGAAAAGTAGAAAGATGTGCAGAGCATTGTTGCCTGTGGAAAGAGGATTGGGAATGAAAGCGAGTATTGAAAAGGCCCTTTCTCTGCATATTTTTGTGCTGGTTAGGCACTGGAAAGATGGAAGATTCACAGTGGCCTTCATTTAAGTGCCTACCCTGTGCATTGTATTAACATTTCCATTATATACATTAGCACATTTCATTTGTAAAGCTGATTTACAAATGAGGAAATTGGGATGCTATGTTAAAAATCTTGCCCAAGGCTATATCTTGTATTGCTTTGTGCATAGATATTTTTAAGTAAAAAGGGATTATAGTGTATTTAAGAGTTTTAACTGCTTCTTATTTATCTTAAGACTGTAGTGAAGACAGCTTTTTAGGTCAATAAAGGTAGATCTGTAGCATCAGTTTTAATGGCTACGTCATGTCTCATAGAGGTACTGTAATGGATTCAACCAGTTCCCTGTTGATGAACGTGTAGATTGCAGATTGGGGCTATCACAAGTAAGCTGTAGTAAGTATACACACATTTTTGTGTGTGTACTTGTTGGCAATACCCTTAGGATATTATTCCAGAGGTATGATTACAGAGTCAGAGGATACAGTTTTTGAATGTTGACATATATTTTGACAGTACCTTCCAGGAAATTCATATCAATTCACATCTTAGCCAACAGCCCACGTTAGCCTTTGTTTAAATTTGTGCTAAATCCCTCATTTGTCCTATTGTGATTGTTATGCATTGCATGCCTATATCAGAATATTTCATGTGATCCGTAAATATATATACCCACTATATACCTACGAAATGAAAAAGTAAATGCTAAATCAATAAACCTGTGATAAGCTGATAAAAATAAAAGTTTTATTTGCACCTTTATATGATTTTGAAAAATTTTATTTGCAAAACAAAATGAGCAGCCTTCCACTATGCACATCATTTAGTCATTAAAGTGAATAAATGATATTTCACTTGACCCAATTGGTTTCATGTTTTGATGCTCCAGATGTGGAACTTTGTAATTGTAACAATTACAAATGAAGATCTTGAATATGGATTATATATTCTTATTTACACAGCTAATATTTCAAGAATATGTCTAATCTCATGTTTTGTATTGAGAAAAATCTCAATATTTTTTAGTCATTTTCTCATATGCACTGCTTATACTGGAATGGTAGTATAGAGAACCCTAAATTTCATATAATGAAAAACGACTTATGTTTGAAATGAGTTATATTGAGAATGCCATAATTGAATATAGTTGTATATGACTTCCAGGTAATATTTTTCACTAAGTCAGTGCCTAATGCAATCTCAACCAGGAAGTAGCCAGAAAGCTCCTCATTTCCTTCATTTCCTTACTTGTCAGTGATGGAAATGGAGAATAAGATGTCTCATAAGGTGACCCCACCAGGGCACAGCCATTCTTTCTCTGCGTAAGCTTGACCTTGTCTGGCTCACACTCCCTTTGGAAAGAAGAGAACTAAGCTGGGATGTAATGAAGTGGTTCTGTCCAGAGAAATGTTCCTAGTGGCTGAATTATGAGGAGGAGGAAGTACACAGTCCTGTGTCCCTTTGATTTCATGTTGGACTTTGTACAATTATGGAGCCAGAGCCAAGAGATGGGAACAGGAAGTCTTAGGAACTTTTTGCAAAAAGTCTCTGCTCTCTAAGCTTTCACTACTGAAAGCTTCAAGATCTGATGTGGCCATACCCTCCCAGGCAGCTGAAAATTCAGTCTGTGTCACCAGTTGACTGGAGTGTCCTCCCTGCTGTGTTGAGATCCAGATCTGGGATCGTAGACTCACATGCAGGAAGCCAGCATCTTTCATTGTCCCTCATCTCTGTGCCAGACAGACAAATGCAGACTCCTTGACAGACCGATTACTGACAGGGAAGGAGGTCCACAGGCTGGTCATTAATTGATTCAATGTGTATTGCATGCCTGCTGGGTTTCATGCTCCATGCTCTGAATTCAGAAGTGAACCTGCCGAATACAGTCCCTGCCTTCATGGCACTTATGGTCCAGTGGTAGAGACACACCCTAGACAGATAATGACATTAGTAATCAATTAAGCCTGAGACATGCTACAACAGCAAACCATGTGGTGGCACTGTGGGCGGGTGTGACGGGGGCCTAACCCAGCCCACCCTTTGCTGACACAGAGAATGGCAAAGAGTATGTTCCCCCTGGGACACCACCCAGGGAGCACCAGGCACAAACCTGCATAGTCTAGACATGCAGAAAAGTGATGGGATTGCATTCATGGCCTTTTGAGGATAGATTCCCTGGGCCTGCAGGTGCTTCATGGCTGAAATCCAGCTCCTTGTGGGAACGGGCATCCCAGTGGTGCTGCCACTGACTACTACCTGTGCTTGGGCTGGTTCAGGCGCAGTTTGACATCGCGGTGGCCAGTGAGATCATGGCGGTGCTGGCCCTGACGGACAGCCTCGCAGACATGAAGGCCCGGCTGGGAAGGATGGTGGTGGCCAGTGACACAAGCGGACAGCCTGTGACAGCAGATGATTTGGTGAGTGTTTCCAACCCAGAAGCTCCAGGGAGTGGGTTGTCCTTGTTCTTTGTTACCGGAAGAAAGGTTTTCTTCCTTTTATCAGCGGGTGTCATGAGGATCCAGAAGTTTCCACACACACATTTCTTCCCTCACAAGCACATCTGACCGCTTCCTAGTGTTCTCATAGTCATATGTGATGTGTTTACACCTGGCTGCACCAAAACATGTGAAATTGATTTCAGGAGCTTTCCACCATCCTTGCTAATCCTGATCTCTGCTTCTGTCTGGGCTGGGAAGGGGTCATCCCCTTACAGTCACTTGGTAGCTTTTTAAAAATATGCCACTGGCCAGGCTCACTGGCTCCCGCCTGTAATCCCAGCACTTTGGGAGGCCGAGGTGGGTG